ACCGCCACCCACCTGCCGCCACCACCCGCCACCACCACCACCCACTTTGTTACCATCTACCATCCGCCACCGTCACCACCCACCCACCACACACACCATCACACACCCGCTACCTACCCGCCACCTACCCACCACCACGCCATTCGCCACCCACTGCCACCACCACCCCCACTTGCCACGACCGCCACGCCACCCATTCGCTACCCACCACCACCGCCACCGTCACCACCCATCCACTACTCACCACCCACCACCCACCCACCCACCATCACCACTACCACTCACCCGCCACACCGCCCATCACCACCCAACTTGCCACACCACCTGCCACTACCACCCACCACTCGCCCATCCATCCATCCACCACCACCACAGAACCCGCACCATACCACGCGCCATCCACCTGCCACACCACACCACCACCACTTCGCTACCACCCACTACTTGCACTGTACCCACTACCCCTCCGCCACCACCTACCACCACCAGCTACCCACCACCCACCGTCACCACTTTCCACCACCGTGTTCCGCCGCCACTTGCCACCACTTGCCATTTCTCACTCTTTTTTATATTTTTAAATTTTTTTAAACATTTTGTCAATTACCAAACGCGCTTGTAGTTTATGTTTTTCTAAAAATAAACAAAAAATAAACAAAAATCAGTTTATAAAATTTTTGTAAATATAAACTGAAAACGTAAACATTATCAAACACACCCTTAATGTTCCTAACATTAACCCTACATATATGTATTCTAGTTTGCTTCAACAAGCCGTCTTTATCAGGCCAACTCATGTACAAACCAAATGTTTCTCAAACTCTTACTATAAGCTCTACCAAATTTTTTATTTTTTTATGAGATTATGAAAATAGTGAGATTGAAGAGTATTAGTGTGATGACATTAAGTTAGAAATGTAAAATAAAATATATTTTTTTATGCATTAGTGTAATAGTATTAGTTCGCTGTAAGGGTGGATATGATTCGGGTTTGAAGGGATTCGATCCAGGCCCATGCTACATAAAAACACTAGAAGTTATTTTTGAAATTCAGCCAAGCCCGAGATCATGCATATACTATGTTCTTATGGAAAAATATTTAAGATCCACAACAAACGTCTCACAATTTAATCCACAATGTAGAATCTACCTCTCTTACCACATCATTGTGGATAAATTTAGAGATCCAAATTATGGATCTCTAACATTACTCATTCTTATGTCCATCCAAAACCAAAATAAAAAATCTCAAGCCTACATGGCTCAGACATTATTTAATATAAATATATTTTTTATTTAAAAAAAACTATAGTTAAATTACTTATAGTTTTTAACTTTACATAATTCACTTTTTATGTTAGTTGTTCAAAATTTATAACTAACTATTTATGTAACTTGTAATACATAATTTATGCTTATAAAAAAATAAAAATAAACAAGGTAAAGTATACACATAAATATGGATATTTATAAAAATGCATTATAGATTATAGTTTGTGACAGGCCGGAGGGAAGGTTGGGTTGGGTTTGAATCACTCTTTTCAAGCATGTCCCATATTATAACTGAAAATAAAATATTTGTTCAACCAAAGCCTATTCATAATCTTAAGCCCTATAAATCATGAATGGTCCTAAAGCGGGTCAATTTGAAAAATATATTTTGAGTACATCACCTCTCTATTTTTTTATATTCTTTAAAGAAAATCAAAAAATCAACTTGTAATCAATTTCTCAAAACAACGCCATCAAATCTAGATTCATCCCAAATTTATTGAAATTAAATTTATAAAATTATTTAAAAGAATGTAGTATTTAGAAAAGTAACTTTTCATGGGATCGGAGTAATAATTACAACCCACTCATACTAATGCCAATTTCATATTGATTGATAGTTTCATCAGATTATTAATCTCATGCCAAATTTCACAAACAAATAAGAATTAAGTGAAATTCACATATAACTAATTCAATATCCGCCCCCACATCTTCAATCAAACATGGCCCAAGCTCGCTATGAAACAAGAGTCCTTGGATTGCTGTATCCTTTGTGAATGAAATTATTAGATGATCATAACGCATGTGATGATCATCCAACGGTGTAGAATATAGGGAGCACATACTCATTAGTAGCACATGACACATTTTAAGCAACAGAGCAGAAAGGAAATCGCTACAAACCAATATGTGGGACCCGCAATTCGATACACTAACATGCGCCCTTCTTTTCGGGTAATCTATCTGCCAGTCGCAAGTCGCATCTAGGCATGGGTGCGGGTCGATTCGGGCCACGAAATCTTCAATTCGTCATCTGTCCGTTAGATTGGTAGATTGGAGAATATTAATCTGCATCCGTCTGTTAATTCGACGGATGTGGATTGAGCGGATTGGCGGTTTAGCGGATGGATGCGAATCGGTTTGGCGGTTTAAAATTTAATAAATTTTCAACATAATTTAACTTGTGCACTTCCTCAAAAAAAGAAGAAGAAAATATTACAGTCAATGACTTAAAAAAAAATATTACAATCACTGCATGCCTCATCCAAAGCAAAAAAGTTTGAAACTTTAGAATATCATAATCACTGCATGCCTCATCCACATACTACAATCACAGCATGCCTCATCCACATAAAGTTTTATAATCTGTTGTTCTTAAAATATAAAAACAATTCAAACCACCAAAACCATGAACAGAGCAGTAGTAGAGATTATATGCCTCTGTATTGTTATATCTATATCTGTTTTTGAAAATAAAAACCAACCAGTATATATCATATTTTCTATTTATTATTTTTAGAGATAGATTTAAAATCAAAAAAATAGATAAATAATACGTTTATTTTTTTCAATTCAAAAAAGATATTTAAGTTGAATTTTTTTTTCAACAGAATATTTAAACTCTTTTTTAATTGAAAACGCAAACAAAATATTTAAACAAACTAAAAACACAAAATCTTATAAATTATTAGGGGTGCTCGCGGTTTGGCGGTTCGGTTGCGGCTAAAAGAATCTCAAATCCGCCATCCGTTCGCTAGATTGGCGGATTGGAGAAAATCAATCCGCAACCGTCCGCTCGTCATCACGCATCCGTCCAAAATGCGACAGATCGGTTCAATTCGATCGATTTTGACGAATCAATATATCCGCTACTCACTCCTAGTCGCATCTATAGAACGCGTGCAATGCACGCTTATGCTTGAGTTGAGTTTTATGGTCTCTTTTTAGAAAAATGATTGATTCGTGAAATCTGAGCTCGCCTAAATTATTTGAATTGTGTAAGTCTGACAATCGAATTATTCTCGTCAATTATGATTGTCATTTTTATTAATAATTGTTATTATTTTTATCAATAAATCGACATCCTTCTTGATGATTAGTGAAACGACTAATATATATAAATTCAAATTAAACGAGGGCTCAAATTGAGTGAAAGCCTACAATTGCGCTGTTTGGCAACCTGCGATTTAGGCTAATATAGCCTAAATTCAAATTTCAGCCGAAAAGCGTGAACAGTTCACGCGTGATACACACCGGGAGTGGAATTACCATTTTGGCCCTTGACTATTTCAAAGGGTGTGGGTTATACACACACCTCAAACCCAAGTGCCCTATTCTCATCTCTTCCATTTCGTCTCTCACACCGACTGTCCCAACACCAGTGCGCGACTGATCTGTCTCCGGCGGACCTATCTCCGGCGGACCTCTGCCTTCCACAGAACACGGCGGACGAAGAACACCGACAGGTAAATCACGTGAACCGACTATACATGTGTTTGTTACCTTTGTTCACTCGGTTTGAAACTTTTCCCATTCCGATCTACGACATCTTCCTCTGTTTTGGCCCATAGTGATGGTATTCGGTTGGTATTTATGCCGATCTGGTGATGATCCGTCGTTCTCCGAATATAAATCGCCGATACCATTTTTTTTTTTTTTTCTGGCCTTACTTAAATGCCTTCCACAAAACCGCACCCATTTTTTTGTGAACATTTTTTTTGTGTTGAGCTACCCAGGTTTTTTCCCCCCTGATTTCCGTAATCACCATTCACGGTTGGAGTGATGTAATCGTTGCTTAGGTTTGGAATTTTGTTTTTTTTTTTTCAAAACAATTTTCTCCATAATTATCATTCACAACCCGGTTTTTCCCATTTTTTTGTGAACATTTTTTTTTTGTGTTCAGCTACCCAGGTTTTTTCCCTCCTGATTTCCGTTATTACCATTCACGGTTGGAGTCATGTAATCGTTGCTTAGGTTTGGTATTTTTTTGTTTTTTTTTTTTTCAAAACAATTTTCTCCATAATTATCACTCACATCCCAGTTTTCCCCATTTTTTTCCCCTGTTTTTCCCATCCGAATGATGTAATCCCCCTTGATTGCCATTTATCATTCACAATCCATTGTGTTTTTCCCCTTTTGTTTCAATCCATCTGTGTTTGATGATGGTATATAAGATGGACCAAAATTGTCCAAATTTTTCGTCAATCTGTGTTCATTAGTTTACCTATTTCATCATGGCTGTCTCATGATCTTCTTGTAAAATGTATACTGAATTTCCTGGTTATAGTTCACCACCATAGTTTTGAATTTGCAAAATGCCTAAACCTTATTATCTTCTTGTAATTTTGATGACAGTACATTAGACTTGTGAGATGAATTGTTAATTTAAGCACAACAGCTACATGCTCGAGAAAATGCTGGTTATAGTTCCTTGTACAATTATTGTTGATTAACTAAGATGAATTGTTAATAGAATGATAAATATTTAAGAATGTTCAGTTAACGGTTTCCATTCAGTTATCAATCTCATTTTCAATACCAAGTTCACTACTCTGAATTATGCGTAATGATTTTGTACTTCCACATGTGTTAGTTCTTCTACACTGCAATGAAATTGTCTTTGGTAAATTTGCTCCAGCAACTGGTAGGGTTACAGAATTGGGATAAGACTATTGAACTCAGTTGTTCCATGGACTTTCTGGTAGGGTTACAGAATTGGGACAAGAACAAAATACTAATAATCAGTGGAAATTTGGTTGTTCTGTCTTGTTTTGAGTGTCCTATTTTCGTGTTGCCCTTGTAGGCTGTAGGTATTCATTTGGATGGGGGGAAAAATTTGTTATTACAATTGGTAAAGCGAAGACATCAAATTATTTTGTTTACTCAAAACCAAGACATAAAAAAATGTGTTATTAGAATTGGTAATGCCCCCATTTCCATGGCCCAATTCTTGTTGTTCGACTACATTTGTAGTTTCTAAATTATAATTTATAAATACATATATGGCAGTTGGTATCTATTGGTTGACTGATTCATTTAAGAGTTTGGCGTGTCATATTCAAATAAGTGTGAAAATACTCTATTCTATTTTATAGCTCTTCAATGGAAATAACGACAACAACGGTGATATGTATTGGTTCAATTGTTCATTTAAGAGTTAAAATGATAATAATGTTGGACCATGCCAAACTTTAGATGACGCATGTTTGTTGAGATAGAATCACATCAGATCAGTATTATCTATACTAAAGATACACCTGTTTTACCTGTAAAGTGTATTTGTAAATTCTAAAAATCACGATTTTTACAAAATATTTGTTAGTAAGAAACAGCGGATGGCTTCGTCTATGTCCACTAGCACGTCAACATGGCCACGACGAATGTGTGCATGCGGCTATGGCCATTGTTTTGTTAAGATTTCCAGATCCCACAAAAATCCTGGTCGTGCATATTATGTTTGTCCTCGGCCTGTGGTGAGTTGTGTAATTTACGTTTTTTGAATCTCCATTTATTGGCAAAATTGAACTTCATTAGCTAACCACAGTTATGTTTGTGGCTCATCAGCAATGTGTAAATTGGATTGGTTGGTGTGATGAATCAGGGAGACCGAGCCCCGACCATGACTCATCCCCAACCGAAGTGATGCAGTTACGGGCTGACATCGTGCAAATTTTTAATACCTTGCGTGTCATTAAAACGATTACTTCTGTGTTGTGCATAACGGTTATCATATTATTACTACGTATGTAAAACATTGTAACAACAAGACATGTGTACGGTGGATGCTTGTCTAACTAGTAACTCAAGTAACAAAACTGGACTACTGTAAATGCACCTTTCTATTTTTAGCTATGTCCTACGTTTCTCCTACATTCAAGTTTAATGTTGCATATCATATGTGCCTGTGATATGTTGTCTATTTTCCGTTTCTAATTTATTTGTGTAAAATGTGTACACTACCTTCTACTGTAATTAGTTCAATGGCGGCAACACGCTCCTCCCCTCGAACACCGTCCAAAAGTAAAGGTGTTGGACACTTGCCTACTGAAGGGTTGCCTGATTACATTGATCTGTCACATAAAGCAACTTGGGACAGCGTATCAACCGAAATTTTCTTAGAGTGTGTGCGGGAGCAAATTTTAGCGGGACGTAGGCTAGGTACAACTATCTCAGTTTCCGGGTATAAGGAAATTTGTGTCCAATTTGCTAAGCGCACAGGCAGGCGGCATGACGTGAAACAGTTCAAGAACAAGTACCTTGCTTTGAAGAAGGAGTGGCAGGCATGGAATAAATTGATGGACACCAGTAAGGGTGTAACTGGGATTGGGTTCGACAGGTCAACCGGGTTGTTCACCGCGTCAGACGAGTGGTGGGAAAATTTGAAATCGGTATGCATTGGAATATAGCATGTTGTACTATATTGTTCAATTCATGTTCGTAATATTTTGGGTTGTTTGTTACTCTACAACTTTAATAATGGATTCTAATTGTTATTCTTCTCATTTGCAGACAAACAAGCTAGCTTATAAATTCAAGACAAAGCCATTGGAACACGAAGATTTGATGCGGGAAGTTTTCACAGGTGCAACCGCGACTGGAAAACATCATTGGACCCCCGGCGAGCCTGTAGTGGACATTGCTGACGGTGAATCCGATTCTGCAGACTCACCTGGGTTGCAGCCATTTACTGCGCCATATGAACCGGTTGTGGACTCACCACCACCCTCCCCCATTGTCCAGGTAGATGAAGCGGAGCAAGGACCAAAGCGCAAGAGGGGGGCGAGTTCAAGTGGAAAGTCGAAGAAGCCGTCCACTGGCGCATCAGTGCTTGCAAACAGTTTCAACCATCTCTCCGAGGCCGTTCGTGCACAGAAGCACCTTACGATCAGGCATGGAACTGGTGCGTCTCAAAAGTATGGCATTGAGGCATGCATGCAGAGGATTATGGCTATCCCCGACTTTCTCAGTACGCCTCTTTTCCACTTTGCCTGTATTGCTTTGGAGAATGCAGATTACCGTGAGATACTAATGTGCATGCCTGATGATGGTAATGTGGTCGGTTGGCTTGCGGCATTGAAGGCCTCCAAAGGACTGTGAGAACTGTGGTCTGTTGGTTTTTGGGATAATGGAAACAATTGTGGGTGTGTGTGGACATGACTTGTGCTGCTTTTTTTTTTAAAATTTTTGCTTGTTGCTAGCTTCGCTTATCAGGACTGTTAGTTAATGTTTTGGGTGAATGGATGTGGACCTAATGTCCAACATTAGTATTGCTTCATTGATGCGTGGTTTGTGTTGACTTTAGCAGCATTCGTAAGTAGAAGTGTTCAATTTCATTGACTGCATTCCTCTTTATGGTTTGTAGGAAAATGTGGATGTATGCATAGGTGTTGCCATTCTTTGTTATTTTGTGTAGTAGTTTATGCAATATAATAAGACTACATGGTCAACGTAATTAATCCGCTGAGACGTGCATTGTATTGTGGGTGTGTGTGGACATGACTTGTGCTGCTTTTTTTTTTTAAATTTTTGCTTGTTGCTAGCTTCGCTTATCAGGACTGTTAGTTAATGTTTTGGGTGAATGGATGTGGACCTAATGTCCAACATTAGTATTGCTTCATTGATGCGTGGTTTGTGTTGACTATAGCAGCATTCGTAAGTAGAAGTGTTCAATTTCATTGACTGCATTCCTCTTTATGGTTTGTAGGAAAATGTGGATGTATGCATAGGTGTTGCCATTCTTTGTTATTTTGTGTAGTATTTTATGCAATATGATAAGACAACATGGTCAACGTAATTAATCTTGTGAGACGTGCATTGTAGGGTTCAACACGGTTGATATGTGGAACGGTGAATGTAGCAATCTGCATCGAAATGATGATTACATAATCGAGCAAGCAGAAGATCAAGAGGACCAATAGAATGATGTAGTCGTTGAAGCAGCGCGACGTACAATGGAATATTACGTAAAGTACATGGACAAGATTCCATGTCGAACTTCAATTTTAACCGGTCGTGCATGGATTGAAGAATTATTTGATGGACACTTAGGTAGGGGTGAAGAAAATTTGCATATGCCTCTGTATGTGTTTAAAGCGTTATGTCATACATTACGACGAGATTTTGGTTTACGGGTACCTAAAAGACCTCATGGATTACACATTGAAGAAAGTGTTGCCATGTTCATACATACCTTGGCCGGCTACCAAAATCGAAGCATTCAAGAGCGGTTTCAGCACTCGGGAGAAACGGTTTCTCGACATTTTCATGCAGTGTTGGATGCAATGAAATTGTTCACAGAACAGCATTGCAAGCCCACCAGAGCTCAAACTAGTAGGCATCCCAAATTACGTTCAAGAGGCAAATACATACCGTTCAAGGTAAGAATGCTGTAATTGTCATTAAGATCACTTGTGTACAATGTGGTGTTCAATTAAATAGTTGTGATGTGTTCTACTATGTCAGAATTGTATAGGTGCGTTGGATGGAACTCACGTAGAAGCTGTGTTGCCTGTCCGTGATGCAGCCACATATTACAGCCGAAAAGGGTATCCAACCCAAAATATACTAGCTGTGGCAGACTTTGACATGTGCTTCATTTTTATTTCCTGCGGCTGGGATGGAAGCATGCATGATAGTCGCATTTTTAAGGAAGTAATTGAAAATCAGCGTGTACCGTTTCCGCACCCACAAGAAGGTAGCAAATTTCAGATTAACAACTGGTTGGGGTTCATGTCACATGTATATGATTATTTTTTTATTTAATTTTATTTAACTATAGGTAAATATTACCTTGTCGATGTGGGATATCCAAACAAGAAGGGGTACCTGGCACCATTCAAAGGGTCTCGGTATCATCAAGCACAATTTCGGGAACATGGACAACCCGATAACCAGAGAGAAATGTTTAACGAAGCGCATGCATCACTACGGAGTGTAGTGGAAAGGACTTTTGGAGTGTGGAAATCTCGGTGGAAGTTCCTGCACAACATGCCAGACTATGATTTTGCGACGGTGCAAGTGCCGTTGGTCGGTGCATCAATGGCCTTACACAATTTTATTCGTAGGCACGAGATAGCTGCCTTGGGCAACGACAGACAATATTTTGTTTCATCAGCCCCGGATGACATGCCAGACGTTCACACTGGCGGACAGAATCTCGATGATGGGCTCATGGTTGGGGATACAGATGTGGATATGGCAAGAGTTCGTGTTCGCATACGCGACCATTTTTTTATATACGCAGGTTGGGACTATTGTGAAAATGATGTTTTCGATGTGGAAATTTGTGTCGGAATGTGACCCACGTAGCAAGCCTTTGGACTTATGGAACTATTTGTAATGCACAATATTTGAAGAGCAGTATCAGTAATGTTTGTAATGTACTTATAAATTTTATTTAACTAGATCATCCTTTAGTTTCGTTCAGTTTTGCACCTGATGGATGCCTTTGACACTTGCCTTACTTACCTATTTCATGGCAAGAATTGCATTTTCTTTTGAAATGTCGTTCATTTAAATTTTTGGTCATTTATTCAATTTCTGAGAAATTCAATAATTTTATAAGTTGAATTTTTTTTTATCTGTAGAAAAACATAGAAACTCATATTTAATTCTTAACAGATTTTGAGAAAATGGTTTAAATTTTTGGTAAGCATCAACTAAAGAAAAGAGTTCGCGGTTAAGGCGAAAATATATTTCAATTTAATTTTTATTATTTGTGATAATGAGACCGTACACATTACAGTTGAGACAAAAGGACTTGAAAAAAATTAGTTGGATAAGAAAAATAGTTCAAAACAGAAATTGAGAAAACAAAATTAAAACAAATGTGATTTACACAAACAAATTACTTCGGGGAAAAAGTAAATGCCAGTTTTTATTTGACAAAGTAAAGTAATTGACAACTAAATATTTGTTGAAAAATATGTATTTTTCAAAAAAAAAAAAAAATTCATTACAAACTGCCCATTTTTAATAAATTTTAAATTTTCAAATAATTATAAATTATATTAACCAGTCACGTTTAATAAATGACTGAAAATTTGTTCATATATGTAATTAATTGTGTATAAGTTTTACATATATATTTATTTGATCTGTACATGTTAAAAATTACACTTCAATTAAAATAAATGCCAATTTTTTTTTTTATTTTTTTGTTACCCAGATTTGGGTTTTTTGTTTTTTTTTTCAATTAAAAGTAACAATCCTTTTTTTTTGTTACAGGTAGGTATTAATTGTTTGGTCAATTAACTTTCACAAATTGATGTCCATACAACTCAACTTTGACCAAAAATCCATCCTGATGTGCAGTCCGTATGTGACGTGAGGGCTCCACCGAGCTGCTGCCAAGGACGCCTACATTGGTTATGTAGGGGCAAATTAGTAATTTAATAACAAAACATCATATCAAACACTCTCTCCAATACAATCATTTAAAAATATTCTCATTCATCTTCCCAAACATAAAAACTAAAATAGCCTATTAAAATAGCCAAATAGCCAAAAAGCCTACTAAAATAGCCACTTCCCAAACAAGGCCTTTGTTTCTTGACTGTAGTCAAGAGTCAAGACAAATAGACTTTGAAGTAAATAGTGAAAAAAAGTAACTGAAATGCATCCTAATAGACAAGTAATAGTCATTAATTGGCTACATTTGCTAGTTTCCGTCCTGAAATTGAAGTCTTCATTTGAGGGAAAAAGGTGAAAATATTTTCATTTTTTCGGTTTGTCATATATTAAGACTAGAGATCAGTGGTTTCCCCCATCCTACTGCTAATCTAATCCATTCATGACTTGTATTTAATATTTCATTGATCCTCTTTTAGAACTTGATTGATATCCCCTATCTAGTGGTGGTGTCCCTTTGCTGCAATGATTTTTGCATAATGTGGAGGAATATTGAAATTCATCCAGAAGAATATGATCGTATTTGTTGATCTTTTTGAATAAAACAACATTGCATCATTTGTGGTATTGTTTTTGTTTATACCTAACTTAATCGTGACGTAAGTTATATTTTACTAATCCTCGTATAGAATTTGATCATATTCACTTGTTTGATGTCGGTTTCCCACTTTTCTACAATGTTACTAGCATCCACATCGAAGTTTATCCAAAAAATATAACCATATTTGTTGATCTTTTGTAAGAGTGCATCATTTGAATTGTATAAATTCTTAATAGAGTTTCGTGGTGAATTCATATTTCATATTAATTCTTTGATGTTGTCTCGCAGATGGGGATTAGCATTGTAGATTCATCTGTATCAGGTCTTGGTGGTTGCCCCTACGCTAAAGGTGCTTCTGGGAATGTTGTGTCTGAGGACCTTGTTTATATATTAAATGGGCTCAGAGTTGAGACCAATGTGGATCTCCGAAAGGTCATGTTGGCTGGGGATTTCATCTGTAAACATTTGGGCCAATCCTCTGGTTCAAAGACCGCAATTGCATTGAGCTGAACCACAGCTCATGCTTCTAAGTTATAAGCTACGTGGGACCAATGTACCTTGCTAAAGAGATGCATGCACACCAACTTCTCAGTTTTTTGAATTGCCTTAAGCTATGCTTGGATCAATGATTTGAGGAGGGAAAGAAAAAGGGATATTCAGAATTGCCTTCATGTCCCTTTATAGATATATCGGTTTCCGTTGTTGGAAAATTCTATTTCCACACACCTAATTAGCTTAGAACACATCTTTTCTCAATACACGCCTATTAATTTGATTATTAATTAATTTTCTCAATTCATACCCTTTAAGTTACAATTACATCCATCACTCATAACTATTGTACACATACTACTAACCTTCATTTCCACACACTTTTGCTATATATAAATGTTGCTATATATATATGTATGTATTTTTTTTTTATCCTGTTGTAAATCATCTATTTGGAGATCAAACCTTTCATTAGTTAAAAAATCAAAACCTGCAGTTTGTTGATAGTTCAGTTTTGGTCCTTCGTGTAAGTCATCTATTCTATTTGTTGATTTTTTTAGTCCTTTCGAAGGATTCAACTTTTGAAAAAAAGGAGATTTGACTGGAAATCACCAGATTTTATCCATGGGTGAGCTCTTACCTTGTGAGAACATGTGATTGGGATGTGTTTCGATCTGAGATTTATGTAGAGATTTGTTGAGAGAAAAAAAGAGGAAGGGAAAAGAGAAATTTCTGTCTTTATAAAAAATATTTGACAAAAAAAACGCAGAACTCTTTCTCCTAAAATTTGAACGCCCTTGGAACTCATCTCCTTTAATTTATTTATTTATAAATTAGTAAGAGAGAAATAAAAAAGAGAAACTATATTTGTAAGCAATAATGGAAAAATATAGTATAGAGTGTGTAACAAGTTGACATGGGTAAGTCTATAAAGATTATAACCTACCATTTAGGGTTCAATACACGTCTCAAATACTAGAGCCCAGCACTGTTGAAGTCCCATGTAACAATAAGAACCAATGACATCACGACACATGGCAAGAGAAGGGCAAGCCACATCAACAGATAAAGATCTACAAAGTTATTGGCACGGTACATCGCCATTAATGAGGCCCCCTTACAGCATTTATTGCGATAACCCCTCTCTGTCGGGACGGCACGTCCTCACCCTGAACAAGGAAAGCTACAGCATAGACTTTCGGCCAAGGTGATAGGCCGGAAGGGATAACGAAATGATTACCAGAGGATATAATCAGACGTTGAAGATAAGAAGAAGGTTAAGCTTTTCTATCTCTAATCTATCTATACAATCCACTTCTCTTTCTAACTTGCTCGTTGGAGGGTTTGCTGGGGGGCTCTTCATTCCCCGTTGAACTCTTGTGCAGGTTCTCTGGTGGGCTTGATCACTCGGATACCGGTTGGAGAAGCGTGGATTAGTCCGACCCGTCCAAGTCTCTTGTAGTATCATCACAAGTAAAGTGACAATAAGGAAAAATTAGGGTTTAATTTTTTTTAACTCAAAAGGTGTACAAGATTTTTTTGTTCTCAAAAGATGTGTACAGAGAATTTTTCTATATGATATTATGGGGGTTGCTAGATGTCTATCATGGTCATTTTTATTTAAGATATAATTGTTATTAAATTAATATTTCATAAATGTGTGCCTTGAGCTAAGTAGGTGTGTGAAAATATAATTTCCCATTGTTGTATCATAGAAGCATAAAAAAAAATTGATAAATAATGTTTCAGTCCTTTTGTCCTCACATTTGAACTTTGCTCAGTTTCCATTTTGTTATGGAATAGCTTTCATGGCATTTATGTACCTGAAGTGAAAAAATTTATTCAAAAAAAAAAAACAAAAATGAAGAGGGAGAGAGAGAGAGGAATAAATGTTAGGGAAAATATGTGATTCCCTATAAGTAAATCAATCAATGGGAATAAAAATTAATGCGAAAAAATTAAATAAAAAGCAACACAAGAATTTTTACGTGGTTCCCTCAATGTGAGGTACGTCCACGGGATCGAAATCCGATTCCACTATCAACCAAATAGTTTCCAAATGATTATAAACGAGACACGAATGGTCTCACAAAACCACCCTTAGGTGAATTCCAAATAATTACAAATAAACAAGAGGAAAGACCTCACCAAATAGATGAACCAAAATCTTCAGAAACTAAAGTTGTAGAAGACCCAAAATAATACTCCAAATCAAACGACACAAAGCAGCCGAATATTCACACCAACAGTAGCCGAAAATCAAGAATTGATTCCACCAAATTTCACCTAAGCACTATCTCACCAATCAATTGATCAAAAAAGTGCTGCTGCTGCTTCACTCAACTTCGAGAAAAACAAATATAATTAGGCCACTGTTGACTCTCTCCGAAAACAAAGCCATATATATATATATATATATGTAAAATCTTGGAATTGTTGTATCAAACCCTAGTTGTTACCAAACTAAATTAGGTGTGATACCCCTGTTCCGTAATACGTTGATTGGTCCTTAATACGAATGTGATTATGCATTTTGATATGATTTTGTGTGCCATCATGTGAAAATATGTGGTTTTGAATTTCTATCTGTTCACCGTAGGAATATCTGTTTGATTATCTGCTTTGGAAATTAAATTGAAGGCCTTATCGGCCACAGAACCCGAAATTGATTGCGCCATTGTGATTGGCATAATTTTTAGAGCCTACGGTGAAATTTAATTGAAAATTGATTTGGATCAAATTAAGTTGATTAAATTAGTGGATTAGTGCCCCATTACTTTATTATTATTATAATGCCAATAATGGGTTTTGTTGGGGAAGGGCACTACACCCTCTATTCTATCTTCTTGTTTCATTTGACTGATTTGGGACTCAAAATTAGAGGAGAGCCGGCTGTAGAGAGGGAGAGAGGAGAGAATTGTGCAATTCTAGCTTAAAGCTTGGGAACCTTAAAGATTATCCAAGAATTTGTTATAGATTGTGAGAATTAAAGCTTCTTGGTGAGTAATCTTGTAAATTTAGAGTTGATTGATGATCAAGAACATGAATTTAATTGAGTATGATGAAATTGAATTGGTTTTGTTGAATTGAAGGCTAAATTGTGCATGCATGTAAGAAATTGTCTTAAATTTGCATGTTTAAGCTTGAAATACATGATTCATGTAGGGTTTTGGTTAAAGCTCATGATGTAATCACCAATTGTATTATCTAAGTTGAGAATCATCACATGCATGTACAAATTATAAGGTTGAATGCATGACATTGTTATGTTGGTAATGAGTTTGGGGGAAAATGAGCCATGCATGTGTTTAATTCATGAAATTAAGCTCCATGTTGATGTATTCTAGTGTTAGTACTATGTTAGTACAAATATATGTGAGCTTGGAGCCATAGTATACAAGAAAAATTGGTTGAAAGTCGATTGGAGCTCAAGAACTCATTCTGGAAAACCCAGAATTTTGATGTCCGCTTGAGCGTAGGAACTAGCGCTCGAGCGGGAAATACGCGCTCCCAGCACTTTTTGCAGACATGGTGTTCGCTTGAGCGGGGAGCTATGTAGACAGGCCTTACACTCGAGCGTCCGAGTTCACGCTCGAGCGGGGATTTGATGTAACCAGTACTTTTGCAGGCCTTAAGGGTTTGCTCGAACGGGGAAGTCCACGCTCGAGCGGGGACCCTGTTTTTTGAAATTTTGAAGATGCATTCTGTGTTCTGTTTTTTCGTTCCCTTTCACTTGTAAGTACTCTTAGGCATACATTGAGCATTGTAATTGAGTTAAAGAGATAAGAATGAAGCTTAAAGAGGAAAATGTGAATTAAAGAACGGATTGAATTATTTGTGCCCATATGTGCTATGTGATGTGTAGGGTCAAGCTCCAGGGCAAATTCACAAGCCGATCACTATGAGTAATATCTGAAATACATATTGTCGTCTAATTGCTTACTTCTGTGTAAGTTTTGTAAAGTTCATTAATATTGAATGGTGGACAAGTTTGATATGAAAGACCTATGAGCCAGTTTGATATGAAAGGCCTATGAGCCAGTTTGACACGAAAGTGTACATGGGCCGAAGGCCGTTTGGTAATAAATGTGGGCCGAAGGCCGATGGACATGAATGAATTGGGTCCGAGGCCGTATGATGTGTTTGGAACCTCAGTTACTTAACTTACATATGTCTATGTATGTATGTATTAGTTGGAAATGCAAATTGGGCCCAAGGCCATTTGATGTATATTGTTCCAATGTATATTCTTTATTTGATATTATTCACTGGGCTATCGCTTACACTCATTCATGTATTTGTAGGTGAGCCCAGAGAAGTCCAAACCCAGCCCCAGTGAAGTCTATGTGGAACAACAGAGGTTTTGGAAAGTCAGCCCTTGTATCTCACGCATGAGACCTGTCTTCGCCTTTTTGTCATTTTGTTCTATGCTGTTATGTTGGCGAAGTTTTTGTATATGTTTGTTTATAGTTTTTATGGGTTGACTTAGTTTTGGATGATCCTGTTTGTACAGAACTTTATGGTGCCGTGTTCTGTTGTGAGTTATTAACATGTATTTGTATGGAATGTTATAATGTGCATATAAGCACGGTTTTATGGACAAAGTTTTAAATTTTTGCTTCCGTTTGGCCCCTCTTACTCTGATAAGTTTTGTCTTATTTGGTTTGAGGCTGTAGGTAATCTCGTGATTACTGGCCGGTTATGGCCTTAACCCATAGGGGCGGGTTCGGATCATGACATTAGGTCTCCACAAATTAGATATAATATATAAAAATATATTATACCCAAACCAAACCAAATTAAAATTCTTTAACCAAAACCAATTGGGCCTTAAACTCTAATAAGGAGGTATATCCCAACAATTCTCCCCCTACCGACTTAGATGGAGATATCAACCATACCCGCCAAAGTTCGACACTTTAAATGTTTGTCCCTCGACAAAGTCTTTGTCAACATATCATTTTAGTCATTTTTTTTTTTGGGTGAACCTTTTAAAATTTCTCCACAAATATTTTTAC